ACCATTGCTTCCCCTCTGTGGGGATCCCTCATGTCATTAAACCTGACAACGGGCCTGCCTATTTATCTACACAAATGACTGCCTTCTTTACATCCTTTGGCATTAAGCATGTTACAGGGATCCCCTATAACCCCACAGGTCAGGCTATTGTTGAGCGAGCGCATCGTACCTTGAAAGCTACCCTCAGTAAACAAAAAGGGGGAGTGGGAGGTCGGGGCTCCGGGCGGTGGCCTACCCAAGCAGACGTGGATAAAGCTTTATATACATACAATTTTCTCTGTCTAGATAGAGACATGGGCCTATCCCCTAGCATGCTACAGCTAATAACACCACCCACTTGCAATTCAACTGGCCCCTTAAAAACAGCACTACATGCACCATCCCTTAACCAGAAAGTCCTCTGGAAGGACGATGAGGGAAACTGGCAAGGCCCATCTGTAGTGTTGTGGAGAGGGCCGGGGTATTTCTGTCTTACAGATCCTGATGGCCAGAGCCGCTGGGTACCAGAAAGAAGAACAAAACGAGTTGAAGAAGCCCCGGGAGAGACAACAAGGATGGGAGAAGAAACACAGTCAACAGAAAATTCAGAGAGAGCAGAAAGAAAAGACAGTTAGGATGACTAAACTGAGTAAACTGTTTTCACTTTTTGCGCGATCAGGACTTTGCCACAGGTTGCGTCAGCTCCAGTGCCCTGGGACACAAGAGAGAATGTCTGGGGGCACTTGGTGTTGGCAGCATCCATCTTTGAGGAGTTCCAGATACAGGACTTATATAGTGGACAGCAATTGCTTGCCTCAAAAATAGAGGAACTGGCCAATAAATTCGCCCAAGCCCTCCAAGTGCAGGCTGATATTGATCAGCAGCTGGAAGAGCAGATTCATAAAATAGCTTTGGCTACTCAGGACATTGGGAATGAACTTATGTGGCTGGAATTGAGACAGCAGTTGCCATGCGATGGCTGATATTGATCCATTTGTGTAACACCCTTAAACCATAATGCCACTTGTGACACCCTTTCACAAAGCATAAATGACACTCTCCCTTTCTTTTCTATTTGGTGTAATGATACCCGTGCCCTTTCCCAGATCCAGGCTACAAATCTTTCCTCTGTACTCCAGGCTTTACAGGTGTTAATTACACTGGCATGGAACATATCTGACACTTGGCACCAGCACAAGACTGATGATATTGTTCATCACCTTAGCAATTGGATTAAGCATACCTCCTTCCCCATCCCCTCCCTTGTAACACATTGGGCATTTATAGCTCTTTTTGCATTTATACATTTATTGTTACTACCCACTATATTAGGAGGTTTCCTTAGGATTCTTAGAGGTTCTATAGAGGCACTCAGAACCGAAGGCCTAGTATTGAGACCCCGTCTCTGCCCCCTCAAGTAAACAAAAAGGGGGAATTGTGAGGGACTGTCTGATGTTGGCTACTGCCAAGTGCGAGTTGTGGCAAGATGGGGTAGGAACAAGATATCAGGAAGTAACCGGTGCTCACACTCCCGAGGCAGGGGCTGTGCTAGATGGAGTTGTGGTGAACTGGGATGGGAACTGGATACGGAGAAGTAACCAGAGCTCATGCTCCTGAGGCAGTGGGCAGTGCTATGTGGAGCTGTGATAAGCTGGGGAAGGAACAGAATACAAGGAAGTAGCCGGAGTACGTGCTCCTGAGGCAGGGGGCTGTGCCACGTGGGAGTGGGATGTCAGAGAACGAGTTCCTTTGTCTAGTCCTCTTCCCTAGGTGCAACGTTAACCCCAGACGTCTCCTTCCTGACTTCCTGGGTCACGTACTTTCCCTTTGTGTAGCACTGACCCCAGACACCTCCTCCCGGTATCTGGGCCTGACTTTCTGGGTCACGTCCTCTCCCTAGGTACAGCTCTAACCTAGACGCCTCCTTCCTGTATCCGGTCCTAGCCTCCTGCGTCACTTCCTCTCCCTTGGTGCGCTAAACCTAGACATCCCCTTCCGGTATCTGATCCTACAATCAATGACTAGTAGGCGGGCTGAGAAGGAGGGGCTAAGTAGGTACTTAAGGAACAGTAGAGCTTGGAGCTCTCTCTCTTTTGCTCCTACTCTCTTGCTCTGGCCTTCCTGCTTGGCTTTGCTGTGATGGCCTCTGAATAAAGCTCGAGTGTTGGCATGTCCTGATCGGCTCGTCTCTGTGTGTTTATCCAGATGGGCACCGAAGACTTGTAAGTAGTATGACTCTGGCAGCCTGCTCCTTATAGGAGGAGAGTGCACAGCGTGGCCGGCACACCCACTGGGCTCAAGGGCCTCTATGCATACCTCCCAGAGGGTGACATGCCAGCTTGCCCAACAATGCTGGTTATATGACGGTTGGTGAGATCTTGCATACACTGAAGAAACTTTGGGTGACCAGGGGTGGGGCTAGGGCTTTCAAAGGAAGATGAGGAGTTGGGGCCCATGGACTGATGGGAGCCAGATTCTTTCTGGGGAAAGGGATGAGGGTCTCGGCTTGCCCATCCCCTATCATTAGGGGATAATTAGACCAGGACACTGTGGAACTAGGATATTATTCTGTGACTTAGTTAATACTTAGTTAATGGTAAAGTTGTCTCAGTTTGTTACAATTAATGTTAAAGAGGAATAACTTATGGCTTATCTTGTAAATGCCTTGAAAAAAGCATCTATTTTAATTAAGGATTTTTTATTTGTACATGACTAGAAGTTGGGAGTGTTTTGTTATTTGATATGCAGTGGTTTTAAATTAACTACTATGGATTGGAGTCTGTTACTAATTCCTTAATGGAATCTCATCTTCCTGATGGGGAATATAAATAGGAATGAATAGTCAACTAATGCAAGGTATAAAACTCGAAGTAATGCAGAGTGTAAGGCTAGGTTCTAATTTTTTTTAATTTGAGTTTTCTGAAACATGACAATTGGACAAAGTTTCCATTTTGATCTTGTAATGGTGAAGACATAGGGGTTGAGTTGATTTTCATTATTTGCCTTGGTTATTAGCAAGGTAATTTAAAATAGTGTTGAGATCAATCTTGTAGGAGAGTGGACACAAGAAGGAGGATCTCTGCAGGAGGAGAGTCTGCTGGACACTGTTTGAACAGCACTTAGACAAAAAAGAAGACTTCACCAGATGATGTCCAGAGTGTCAGCTGTATGAGAAGAGACTTCTGAAGCTTTAAATGGACAATTTATGGTTCCTTTTGGGTCTCTGTATCTGCACTTAATAAGGGAACTGGCCCCTTTTTACTTTGTCAATGAGTCAGTCAACTCCTCCCTTCCTTCTCCCATATTAAGTCCCCAAAATTCCATTGAAAAGTACCTCAGTGGGACCGGTTCTGGGAATTCAGGTAACAGGAGTTAGGATGATGATTGAGCCAGTTAATGACCATTCCTCACCCTCTGATGAAGAATTCGAACTAATGTTAAAACACTTTGAGGAAAGAACAAAAAGTGTGGAAATATAATTCTTATTGAGAAAAAGAGGAGGGAATTGTGAGAGTCATATTTCCATAGAGAAGGAGAATAACGCGGAGATTCAAAGAACTATTCCAGGAAGCAGTACACTGTAGGTGGGTGAGGGCTCAAGCAATAAGAAGTAAGTTGATGGCTCTAAAAAGACTCCAAATTCAAGATAAGGGTCGAGCCAGCTCAGACCAGTTAGGGTCAACCTGAGGACACCTGAAAAATGTTAGTGCGCCTGCTTAATGAACTTCATTACTATTATCTGCCACACCCCGCATAAAATGAGAGCCTCATTAACGAGTCATGGGATGTATGACCTCGGGAGGGGGAACATACTTGAGCATATCAAGGGGAAACATGTAAGGAGGGGTGTAACTCGGGAAGGAATGGACCAATCCGGGCCTGGGAGGTTTCATGCCAAATTTGAATGTATAAAAGCATGCTTGCCCTTGTGCTCAGGGCCTATCCCTCCCTAAGAGGGGTGGAGCCTGCTTCTGGCCAGAAACGTCTAATCCTCTGGACTTTCTCTGTAATTAACTTTCTTGATACTAAATTTTAGGTGTCAAGCGTATTTCTAACACACTTGTTCAGCCATTCCCCAACTGATGGGTATCCCCTAAATTTCCAATTCTTTACCACCACAAGAAGAGCAGTTATGAATATTTTTGTACATGTGGGTCTTTTCTCCATTTTTATGATCTCTTTGGGATACAGACCTAGTAGTGGTATTGCGGGATCAAGGGGTATGAACAATTTTATAGCCCTTTGGGCATAGTTTCAAATTGCTGAGGAGATCAATTTCCAAGAATACAATTGTATCACCCTCTAGAAATTATTTTTCAAATTACAGCATTTTATGCAATGGTTTCCCAAACATTCCAACAGGAGAAAAATCAGAAGCATAATAACATAAACAGTGTTATAGATTTAAAACATGAAAAATTGCTAAATGACATCAATTCAGTTCATTTGTGAATTATCTTACCTAAAAAATTCACTTCATTCATCTCTCAATTTGACACTCTAGACTGCATTCAGAGTAGAATTGAGTAATTCTGACCCAATTACCTTCAATTCTTATTCTTACAGTTCCTCATCACATTGCCTCAATGCTGAATTTTAAGTGTATTTACCCTTAAGGTCTGATATTTTTGCAGAGGGTCAAACATCACAATTACAAAGGGAGAACTGGATTTCTCACTGGGAGAAACTCAGTCTGATCCAATCTGGATTTACAGTTGCAAATGGTATATAGATCCTAATTTTCCTGAGAGCCATTTGCTACCAGCTCCTCAAAGTGTAGAGTCCATCACTTTCACTTAGTCTGGGGCTGCAGTTGGATCAAGGCAGTGTTTCTGCTCAGAAGGAGGAGGGGGTGAGTCTGGGAGGGAGGGAGGTGGGGGAGGCACTGGGGGGGAGGAGCTCTCAGAGATGACCAGCCTGGTGGGTGGGTGGCCCAGGTGGAGTTGGAGCACTGGGGTGGAGTTTGGAGTCTGGGAGGAGTTTAAGGGGAAGAGGGGATCATTGCATTGGAGAAGGCTTTCCACGTGATGGAGGGGTGGGCTTGGGAAGGAGAGGCAGTCAGGGTCCTTGAGTTCTGGCCCTGGGTGTGATTGGAGGAAAGGGCTCAGCCATCCTGGGGGCCTCAAGGGTTGGACTGGGTGGTGTCCTTGAGACTAGGAGGATCAGAGTGGGCTGGTGGGAAACAGGAAGTCTTTGAGCTGAGACTGCTCTGCCTTCCCTGGAGCTCGGATTCTCTCCTTTTTCCTTTTGACCTGAGTTCTCTCTGCCTTCCCTGGGACCTAAGATCGCTCTGCCTTCCAGAAGCCCACTCTGTGCATGCAGATCCCAGGTAGGTCTGAGCCAGTGTTCCCACTTACATCCTGACCTTTGTTTGCTGTCCTTGCCATTGGGTCTCATTCCCCAGGTCTGCCAGAAGCAGGCCTCCCAGGCCTGGCTACCGGACCAGCTCCCTGCCCCTAAAACTTTTCCAGACTCCCAATCACTTCCTAAACATCCTGGCTGACCTTCCCCCCCCCACCCCCCCGCCCGAGATTTCTCATTGGGTCACACTTTCCCAAACTTCAGATTTTGCCCATAAGAATCCTGCCTTCACTCCCAGTCCCTGTAAGTATCCACAAGTCCTACCTCCTGCCTCAAGCCCCACCTCGGAGGCAGGAACCAAAGCTCTTTCCTGATCCGCCTTATCTGAATCTGTGCCTCTTGGGCTGGTTCCCTATCAGATCCCAGCCGTTTGGCTCCCTGGAGGGATTCCAAGCCTAAGCTGTACCAGAGGGTCCTGAGCATCCTCCCCAGATCCTAGCTAGACCTCAGGACACAGTCATCCTTACCTGCCCAAGCTTAATGTCCATTTGGAACACTTCTTCCAATCAAGTGTCCCTGACCTCCCTGTCATAAGCATTTAGGGTTAAAGTCGGAGGCATTTAGGGTCAGGGTTAGACTATCCTGCCTCCCAGATCCCACCCCTGCTCCCCTGCCCCAGGCCTCCTGCTCCCCCAGCCCCACATCTTTAAGAGCTCTCAGGTCCCACACAGGCGGCTGGATCCCAGCCTGGGTTTTGTCTCCCAGTCTCGGGCTTTCCTTGGCTGCTCCATTCCAGAGCCCTCCCCTTCCTCAGCCTTCCCTAACCTCCCTCCCTGCTAGATCTAGCAGTCAGTCTATTGTTTAAATAATGTGTGTTAATTGAGGAGAGGGGATGCAGGGAGGGCAGAGGATCAGTTCCAGGGAGAGCTCTGTCTCAGGGGTCATTGAGACTCTGACTGGTCTCATCCTGTCTGGGATCCCAAGCTTCATCTTCCTCTGAGGGCTCTGTAGGAGGATGGGGGAAAAGAGGGGTGCAGAAGAGAAGTAAGAGGAGGGAAGTAGTTTTCCTTTTGAGATCGGCTTCATTTCCTACCCTGACCCTCCCTGCTGCTTCCCTCCCTCTACAGGTTGGAGTCCTTTCCCTGAGGGCAAGGCCTGGGTCTTCCTAACTCCTATGGGTCCTTGCCCTCTGTAAATTCCAGTTGGGCAGCCTCCTGCCTATGAAGAGGGGAGAAAGAGCTCTTCTCTGGGATCCATCTCCCTCCCCAGCTCAGTCTGCAGAGGAACAAAACCTACCCCAAGAAGGTATTGGGTCAAATCCAGACACTAAAGCTGGAGGGAAGTTAGAAGTTTTATTACGAGGCCCAACAAACAGCAAACACCCGGAGTATGAGCACCAAGGCAGTCAGCCTAGCATTAAGATTACAGGTGGGGCAGATGGGCTTTCTGTGCAGAAGGAAAGAAGGAAAGGACTTTCCAGGTGGCTCCAGGCTGTCTCATGGTCATCAGAAAGGCATAGAATTAGAACATCCCATGATTACTTGGGACATCGGTTAGTGAGAGTGTTGGCTGCTGCTCTATTGGTGGGGCCATAAAGGGTGGGGGAAGCAGATGCCTGGGGTAGATAAGGTCCAGGGATAAGATGAAGGGACTTTACAAAATGGAGTCACTTTGGTTACTTTGCTACCTACACAGGGAGCCTGGATTGAGAGAGAATGGCTCCTGGGAGCAGCCAAGCCCCAGCCCAGGTGAGTGCAGTCAATCCACAGACTTGGCCAACATCAGCAATCCAGTCATTTCCATAGACATAGAGGATGGTCTATGAAACTGGCAATGCCTGCTTTAGGGATCATTTCTGTACAAAAATAGGCATGAAATTGAATGCAGTGGTAACAACACTACCCTGCTCTTTTCCATGTTTTAAACTGATTCATTGGGTCCTTGATATATTGAGCACTGCTCCCCCCCATGCTGCCCTCCCCTGTTTGTTTTTAAGTTCTCCCTCATTATAGCTGTCTAACAAGGGTGACCACTTCACTCACTAGTCTCTATTACCAAGGGATCATATTTTTGCTTTCTTAATGACTGCCTAGTATCGTACACACACACACACACACACACACACACACACACACACACACACTTTCCCCCCTCTTCTTTGTTTGTTGTGGCCAAGCTCTCCCATGCAGCAACTGAAGTTCCCCCCAGGAAAAGTCTTCACCCTGAATCTTGTCTGGACAGACCTGGAGCAGAGCCCTGAAGGCTCCCCCAGCTATTGTTTTTTAATGTGCTATCATCAGAGCAGAAATTGTGCTCCTGGTGCTGTTCATGGTCCCCCTACCTCAGGTCACACACGACTTCTCAGATCCCTCTGAACCCCTGTCTGTTAACAGTTCTTAGGTCAACTCAATGAGCATTCAGAAAGGCCCTAGATGTTGTCAAGGTATTTAGAAACACCCTATTTCCCAGAGCTAAGACCCAGCAAACATGCTGTGCCCTGAGCTTGGCATAACAGCAATCCTTTGCACCCTGTATGGTCTTATCCTCCAGCAACATGTATTGCTTGGACCAGCACCAGGTGTTTACTGAGGGATTTATGATTTTCATATTAATAAATAACTGTTTAGATTTGTTGGAGCTCCCCCTATTTCTCAGGGACCTGGGAGCCAATGTTCTGCAGCCTAAAGCCATCCATCATATCTATTGACATGCCCACAATCCCTATTTCTTGTAACTGCCAAGTAAACTGAAGGAGGCACTGCATCCCTATTCCTGCCATGATAACTCTAGTTCTGTACCCTGCTGAATAATCAAAAGGTGTGACAACCCTTAGGACTTGAGAGGCTGTTCCCATGAGACAGATCCAAGCCAAGAAATGCCAACCATGGGAACTGCTTAGTCAAGACCTAAGAATGATTGTGTTGTGGTCCAACTTCTGGCATGTATATAAGCCTTGTCTGTATCCCAGCACGTTGAGCCATCCTTCTCAAGGTGTGGGGGTGAGTAGGAGACTTCTGCTTGCAAGCATTTTCCTCACTCTCTAATTAAATCACTATTTGATTTCTGACACACCGGCCTCTGGTTTCCTTGTTTGGCTTCAGTTTCCCAGGTTAGAGACTGGTCCAGTCTGGACCACATTTAAAATTCCATTGACAATATCCAAGCCCAAGATTTCTTGTACAGACTGCTCTGGGGCCATCTTGCTGCTCCTGTGTTTCTAAGACCTACCCTGGCACAGTGATTGAATGACAGATGACTTCTCTACTGTGTAAAAGAGGCTCCTGGGATTCTCATCCTTGCCTCTATTGGTCCTGGGCACCAGGATTAGCTTCACCACCTACCATATTACTATACATATTGGTTTCCTGGTGGTATAATTTGTTCTGCTCTATGCAGAGTGTCCCATGCACTGGCAGAGACCATGAGAGCAAAAAGGAGAAAAGGAAGGATGGACAGAGTCAAGTTAGTGTGTCAAGGTACCTCAGACAATTTCTTGGAAATTTTTACTCTTCTATAGGTTAGAGAGGTCCTAGATTGACCTGGGAAAGGAATGGATGGAACTGACTCAAGTCAATACTCAGTTTAGATGTTAAACAAAAATCAAACATTCTTAGGTCATTCAACAAAAAAAAGGAGTTGTATTTAAGTATAGTATAAAAAGGACATTCAACAGGGATATGAGAGTTTTTTAGCTTGAGTAGACAAATATCTCCTTACCTCCATGTGGGAGCTCATCTAGTCAGCAAAGCAAGGTGTGACAGTGTGCCATTTGGGGAAATCTGTCATATGGGAAGGACCCTGATTTCACATGGGCAGACTTTTATGCCTTTAGTTTGCCAGGCAGCCATACTAGTTTGTCCAGAGACCCTCAGAATACTACTTGAAGGGAGGCACATGGAGCCTTTGCCCACTATGTAAGTCAGGTCCTTGGGAGAGCTTTGTCACCTTTCAGGGAAAGAAAAAATAAAACTGGCCTAACCAGGTGATAGGAGAAGGACAGAACTCCAGGAGACAGTGGCCCTTCCACAAGTAGGGATCGTGCTACCTTTGACAGCCATCAGGTGAATGGTCAGTCTGATTTCAAGACTACCTGAAGGAAGAAAACCAGCATTTATTATCAGCCACCTAGTAAGTGCCAGGCACTGAGTTAAGCACCTTACCAATGTCTCATGTGATCCTCACAACTAGCACTGGAAGGTAGGTATCATTATCCTCATCTTATTTTTACTTATATATTCAGAAATATTTGGAGGAAAATATTTTTTACTTTATTTTTTAAATACAAATTTTTTTACAGCAGAAATTAGCCTTCTCTTCCTTCCCTTTCTACCACCCCACCCCATTAAGAAAGCAAGAAAACCTAACCCCTATTACAAGAATATATGTAGTCAAGCTAAACAAAATTTCTCATGGATTATATCTAAAGAAAATTATATCAACTGGCACTCTGAATATCACCTCTCTATCAAGAGGTTGGCAATATGTCATCATGGGTCCTCAGGAATTGCTTGATCATTGCATTGATCAGAGTTCCAGTGTGTGTATACACACATATATATGAATACACACATTTGTATTAGCCAAGATCAACCTTCTAATCCTCCCACCTGTTCTCTCCCCCACATTAAGAACATAAGAAAAACAAAACCCATTACACACAATGTATAGTCGATCTGAAAAAAAAAAAAACAACACAGTTCCTATGTCCTAAAAAATATTTCTCATTCTGTATCTGACTCCTTCACCTCTAGGTGGTAGACAGAATGTTTCTTCATCCTTGGCCCTCTGGAGTCTTCGTTGGTCACTATGCTAATTCATGTTCAATGCAGTAGTATTCTATTACATTTATGAACTTTACTTATTCATCCATACTCCATTTATGAATAATCCCTCAGATTTCCTTTTTTTGCCACCTCAAAAAGATTTAGAAATAATCTTATACATCCTTTGAATTTATTTTGCTTAGGCCTACTCCCTCAGTGTATCCTCATTCTAATTCCCCCTCTCCTTTCTTTCCTTTCCCTCCTTTTCACTAGTTAGTAAAATATATTTCTGTACCCAACTCTGTGTTATATGCATTCTTCCTTCCTTTGACTAGAGGACTAAGTTTCAGGCATCAGATGCTCCCAGCCACTCCCTTCTCCTTGTTTGTATAGATGTGTACTTGTGCCCCATGAGATAATATTACATGAGATATACATGAGATTACATGAGATAATATTTCCTAACCCTCCTTTCCATCCACCCACCTTAGTGTATCCCTCTTCCTCTCTTTCCATCTTTTCCTTAAGATCAAGACATAACAGAACCTCTCCAAGGTCTTCTCTAATTTGATTCCCTCTATGAGCCCTGAGAGAGATCAGAGGGGACACATATCACCTCCCCATATTTGAATATAAGTAGTTTATCTTTTTTTTTTACTCCCATAGGCTAGTTCATCTTTCTTTTCTTATTTATGTTTCTCTTCACTTGTGTTTGAACTTCAAAAGTTCTCTGCAGTTATGATCTTTTCATCAAGAATGCTTGGAAGTCCTTTCTTTGAGGGTTACATCCCCCCTATATCATTACACTCAGTTTTGTTGGGTAAATTACTCTTGGCTATAAGACCATGTTCTTTACCTTCTGGAGTAATCTATTCCAAGCTCTGTGCTCTTTAATGATAGTTATTGCCAAATTCTGTGCGATCCTAACTGTGGCTCCTTGGTACTTCAATTATTTCTTTCTGGATGCTTGCTGTATTTTCCTTATTCAACTGGAAGTTCCATGCTTTGATTACCATGTTTCTGGAAGTTTTCATTCAGAGATTTTTTTTAGGAAGTAATCTGTGGTTTATTTTGACATTGTGCTCTGGTTGTAAGACATCTGTGCAGTTTTAAGGTTTCTTGAAATCTTATGTCCAGGTTCCTTTTTTTATGGCATTCAGATAGTCCAATGTTATTTAAATTTTGCCTTGCTCTGTTTTCTCTGTGAGTTGTTTTTACTATGATATACCTTACATTTTCTTCTGGTTTTTTTTTTTACCTCTTGAATTTGTTTTAATATTTTTTATTGCCTTGTGACTTCTATTTGGTCTATATGGCCAAGGTTTTGTACCCTTGTGCCAAGCTGTTAACTCATTGATTCTTTCTTCCATGTCACTCATTTCTTTTCCATTTATTTTTCTCCAGAGGTGGCCAACACAGAAGTGGGGCTTACATGATTATACAGGTGGACAGCAGGGCCTTGGTTTTTCATTTATTTTCAGTGAGGGTGGAGGTGAGAGGAAAGAAAAGGAGGGGGACTTTTTTCTAATGGAAAAAAACCTATTTATTATCCATGGGACAGTGCCTTTTTCCTTCCCATTTTCCTCAAGGCTTTAGGGAAGATCATTTGGTTTTGTCTCTAGAATTGGGAGCCAAGAACTAGACACATCGAGAAAAGGTAGCTTCAGAACTACACAAAACCATAACCCCTGAAGCCCAGCAAAAAGCTACATCCCAGGGGACCCTCCTAGAGACTGGGGAAAAGAGAAGAGAATTTTGATTCATCCAGCAGCTTTGAATGACCCATTGACCATGTGAGGTCTAAGCATGGGCCCTCTTTCCCCTGGACTCTGAATGTCCTTGTGGTCCAGCGTCTCAGACTCTTTTGGGGGTGGTTGTGTATTCTGGTCCTTGCTATATTTTTATAGTAAACAACTTTCAAAAATAAAATAGGAATAACCTCTCAAATGGAGATGATAGCACCTACCTCCCAGAGTTCTTGTGAT